CACAACACATGACCCCACGGCCTTCCCCGTGTCCCCCCTGTCCCCAACCCCGCTGTCCCCGCCTTTATCCCTGCAGTGCCCGGTGCTGAAGGGGCGAGTACAGAAGATCCTGTACTGGCGGTGGGGGGAGCCGCCCCCCCCTGTGGCTGCCCCCCCCGGGGCCCCCCCCGAGGGGCCCCCCCAAGCGTTGCAAGGTCGTTCCGAGCGCGAGTTCTTCGTCAAGTGGGTCGGGCTCTCCTACTGGCACTGCTCCTGGATCAAGGAGCTGCAGGTATGGGGGGCCCCCACGTGTACCCCCCTCCAAACCTTGAGGGGGGGGCACCCCATCTACCCCCTGATATCGGGGTGGCTTGATATACCCAAGTTGGGGGGACCTGATATGTGAGGGGGGCTCCAGTGTATGGGGGACTTGAGACTGGGGACACCCTGATACACCTCCCTCAAGGGGGGGCCCATACTGGGGTGCCCTGATACACCCAGCTTGCAGGGGGGGGATGGCCATACTGGGGGGACACCTATATACCCCCTCGGGGCAGGGGGGGCACGATATTGGTGTGCCTTGATATATTCAGCTTGGGGGTCCTGATACTGGGGTCCCCAGTCTTGGGAGCACCCTACTATCCCCAGCTGAGGGGACCTGGAGGGTTCCCCAGGACTGGGGACACACCAGTATCCCCAGCTGGGGGGGCCTGGGGCTGGTGACACCCTGATATACCTAGCAGGGGGGATGTGAGGGGTTCCCCAGCACTGGGGACACCCCAGTATCCCCAGCTGGAGGGCCTGGGGCTGGTGACACCCCAAAATACCTGGCTGGGGGGGTCTGGGAGGGTCCCTGGGCTTGGGGACGCCCTGATATCCCCAACTGGGGGGCCTGGGGCTGGTGACACCCCAAAATACCTGGCTGGGGGGGGGGCCTGGGAGGGTCCCTGGGCTTGGGGACATGCTGATATCCCCAGCTGGTGGGGTCCCCAATATTTGGGACACCCCGATATCCCCAGCCTTGGGGGGGGATCCCCAATCTTGGGGACCCCCCACCATCCCCACTTCAGGGACACTGTGATGTGCAGTGCTCCCCCCAGGTCCCCAAGACACCCCTGTCCCTAGGGCAGGGGGAGAGGAGCAGCACCCCAATTCCTCACCCTGCCCCATCCCAGGACCCCTGGGGGGAGCAGGGGGCGTTGCCCTCCCCCCCACCATTAATTTGGGGGTGTGTCCCCCCGTTCCCCTCCCACAGCTGGAGATCTTCCACCTGGTGATGTACCGCAACTACCAGCGCAAGAACGACATGGACGAGCCGCCCCCCCTCGACTATGGCTCGGGGGACGATGACCCCAAGAGCGAGAAACGGGGGGCCGGGGGGGACCCCCTTTTCGGGGGGATGGAGGAACGTTTCTACCGCTACGGCATCAAACCCGAGTGGATGACGGTGCATCGCATCATCAACCACAGGTAGGGTAGCACCCATGGGTACTACATGGTGCCCATGGGATCCCCCGGCCCCCTTGCCCCGCCCCCAAATTGGGAGGGGATGGGTGGCATCAGCATGGGGGTAGGGGAGCGCCTGGGTGGGGTTTGGGGACACTGCTGGCACCTGTGGGGACACTGGGCACACTTGGGTCTTCTAAGGACACCCCCAGCACCCATGGGTGCCCCCCCTCCCCTATTGGGAGCAGTTGGGCACTGTCCCCAGGTGACCCTGTGTCCTGTCCGGGTGTCCCTGTCCCTGACTGACCCCGTGTCCTATGTGTCCCTGTCCCTGAGTGACCCCGTGCCCTCTGTGTGTCCTTGTCCCCAGGTGACCCTGTGTCCTGTCCATATGTCCCTGTCCCCAGGTGACCCCATGTCCTGTCGTGTGTCCCTGTCTGAGTGACCCCACGTCCCCTCTGTGTCCCCAGGTGACCGTGTGTCCCTGTCCCCGAGTGACCCCACGTCCCCGCCATGTGTCCCTGTCCCCAGGTGACCCCATGTCCCCATGTGACCCCATGTCCTCTCTGTGTGTCCCTGTCCCCAGGTGACCCCACATCCCTGGGTGACCCCTGCACTGGGGTGTCCCCAGTGTCTCCCTGCTGGCAGCCAGTGATGCCGGTGACAGCGGGTGACCCTTGGTCACTCGGGTGACCCTTCCACGTGCCCCGCTGTCACCCACACCCTGGTGGCACGTGGCAACCCCCGCCTGGCCCTGCATTGTCCTGGCTGTCCCTGTGTCCCCATGGGTGCCCGGTGTCCCCATGGGTCCCTGCTGTCACCCGTGGGTGCTCTGTGTCCCTGGGGGTGTTCGGAGTCCCCATGGGTGCCTGCTGTCACCTGTGGGTGCCCATTGTTCCTGCAGTGCCTGGTGTCTCCAGGCACCCACTGTCCCTGGGTGGCTGGTGTCCCCTGTGGGTGTACATTGTCTCCATGATGCCTGATGTCCCCTGGGTGCCCATTGTCCCACAGGTGCTTGTTGTCCCCACGATGCCCATTACCCCCATGATGCCCATTGTCCCCTGGGTGCCTGTTGCCCCCTGCGGTGCCGGCTGTCCTCCAGGTGCCCGTTGTCCCCGCAGTGCCCAGTGTCCCCTGGGTGCCTGTTGGCCCCATGATGCCTGGTGTCCCCTGGGTGCCTGTTGTCCCCTGGGTGCCCATTGCCCCTGCGGTGCCCATTGTCCCCGCGATGCCAATTACACCCATGATGCCCATTGTCCCCTGGGTGCCGGTTGCCCCTGCGGTGCCCAGTGTCCCCGTGGTGCCTGTTGCCCCCATGACGCCCAGTGTTCCACAGGTGTCTGTTGTCCCTGCAATGCCCATTACCCCTATGACGTCTATTTTCCCCCGGGTTCTTGTTGTCCCCACAACACCTGGTGTCCCCTGGGTGCCTGTTGCCTCCGTGGTGCCCCTTGGCCCCATGATGCCTGGTGTCCCCTGGGTGCCTGTCGTCCCCATGACACCCAGTGCCCCCATGGTGCCTGTTGCTCCCCGCGGTGCCGGGTGTCTCCCGGGTGCCTGGTGCGGGGCGTGACGGCGTGCCACACAGCGTGGACCGGAAGGGGCAGTACCACTACCTGGTGAAGTGGCGGGACCTGCCCTACGACCAGGCCACCTGGGAGGAGGATGAGATGCCCATCCCCGACTATGACCTCCACAAGCTGGCCTACTGGAAGCACCGGTAAGGGACATGGGGACACGGCAAGGGACAGGGAGACAAGTGTGGGGACACGGGAATATGCCTACTGGAAGCACCAGTGAGGGATGTGGGGACACGGGGGGAGCACGGGGCATGGGGATATGCCTACTGGAAGCATTGGTGAGGGATACAGGGACATGGGGGGACATCGAGGGAGCATGGGGACATGCTTGCTGGAAGCGCTGGTGGGACTGGGGACACATGGGGATGTGCCTGCTGGAAGCACCAGTGAGGATCATGGGGACAAGAGGATGTGGGAACATGGGGGGATATGGGGATATGCCTACAGGAAGCACTGGTGAGACTGGGGATATGGGGATGGGGGGACATGGGCACACGGGGACATGGGGACACAAGGAGGACATGGGGACATGCCTACTGGCCATGTGCTCCTGTGTCCCCATGAGTCCCCCAATGTCCTCATGCTGCCCTGTGTCCCTCTGTTGTCCCTGTGTCCTCATGTCTGCATGTGTCCCCTGTCCCCTCCATGTCTCTGTGCCCCCTCTGTGTCCCCTGCCATGTCCCCATCCCTCCTGGTGTCCCTCCTTGTCGCTGTGTACCCCCCGTCTCCCTGTCCTCCCTGGTGTCCCTGTTCCTCCTGTCGCCCACTGTGTCCCCATGTGCCCCCATATCCCTGTGGCCCCTTTCTTTCCTGTCCCCCCCCATGTCCCTAGGGAGGTGTTCATGGGGGAGGACCCGGCCCAGCCCCGGCGCTACAAAAAGAAGAAGAAGGAGACACCGGGGGAGGGACCCCCCGACTCCCCCACCAACGACGTGAGTGCCCGGACACCTGGGTGTCCCCCCCAACTCACCCTTGGGTCCCCCCTATGGACCCCTCCCATCGGACCCTTGAGTCCTCTGGACACCTGGGTCCCCTCCATCATCCCTGGGGTCCCCCAGATGCCTGGGGGCGTCGGTGACCCTCTGGGGTGCCTGGGTGCCCTGGTGGGGGGTTGACCACCCTGGGTCCCCTGGGACCTTCATGGCATCAGTGACCCCCTGGGGTGCTTGGAGGGGGGGTTGAACACCCAGATACCTGGGTCCACCACCCGCTGACGCTCTCTCCCCGGCAGCCGACGGTGAAGTACGAGACACAGCCGCGGTTCATCACAGCAACGGGCGGCACCCTGCACCTCTACCAGCTGGAGGGGCTGAACTGGCTGCGCTTCTCCTGGGCCCAGAGCACCGACACCATCCTGGCTGATGAGATGGGGCTGGGCAAGACCATCCAGACCATCGTATTCCTCTACTCCCTCTACAAGGAGGTGAGCTCGCTCTCGCCTGGTCCCTGGTGTCACTCGTTTGGCCCTGGTGTCACTCGTTTGGCCCTGGTGTCACCCACCTGGCCTTGGTGTTTCCTACTTGGCCCTGGTGTCTCCCCTTTGGCCCCCGTGTCGCCCACCTTGCCCCCAATGCCACCTGCCTGGTCCCTGGTGTCACTTGCTTGGCCCTGGTGTCACCCACCTGGCCTTGGTGTTTCCTACTTGGCCTTGGTGTCTCCCTCTTGGCCCCCGCTGTCACCTGCCTGGTCCCTGGTGTCACTCATTTGGCCCTGGTGTCAGCCACCTGGCCTTGGTGTCACCTGCCTGGTCCCTGGTGTCACCCGCTTGGTCCTGGTGTGACCCACCTGGCCTTGGTGTTTCCTACTTGGCCCTGGTGTCTCCCTCCTGGTCCCTGGTGTCACTCGCTTGGCCTTGGTGTTTTGTACTTGGCCCCCAGTGTCACCCACCTAGCCTTGATATCACCCACGTAGTCCCTGGTGTCACCCGCTTGGCTCCTGGTGTCACCTACCTGCTTCATGGTGTCACCTGCCTGGCCCTGGTCTCCCCTTTGGCCCTCGGTGTTACCTGCCTGGCCTCAGTGTCACCCACGTGGCTTCTGGCATCACCCGCTGCTGGCATCAGCCAACCTGGGGTGTCACCGTGTCCCTGCCCATGTCCCCATGGGGGTCTTACTGCCACCGGAGACATTTTCATACCCCTACAACCACCCCACACTGTCCCGACGTTCTCGAAGGCCCCCTTCCACACTGTCCCCATGTGCCACACCATCCCCATGTCCCCCAAGGACCCTGTCCCACGCCGCCCCCCCCATCCCCCTGTGTCACACTGTCCCCACGTCCCCCAAGGGCCCCGTCCCCGTGTCCCCGTGTGACGCGCTGTCCCCCAGGGCCACACCAAGGGCCCGTTCCTCGTCAGCGCCCCGCTCTCCACCATCATCAACTGGGAGCGGGAGTTCCAGATGTGGGCCCCCGCCTTCTACGTCGTCACCTACACCGGGGACAAGGACAGCCGGGCCATCATCCGCGAGAACGAGTTCTCCTTTGATGACAACGCCATGAAGGGGGGCAAGAAGGCCTTCAAGATGAAGGTGAGCTGGGTGCTGGGGTCCCCTCGGCGGCGGGTGGGGGGGGCTGCACCCCGATGCCTGGGTCCCTTTGGGGGTGGGGGGGCTGCACCCAGATGCCTGGGTCCCTTTTAGGGTGTGGGGGCTGCACCCAGACACCTGGGTCCCTAGGGTGTTGGGGTGCTGGGGGTGATGTAGACACAGGGGTCCTGGGGGGGTTGGGGTACCAGGGGGTGGCCTGGATCCCTGAGGGGTGGTTGGGGTGACCTGGACATTGGGGTCCCAGGGAGTCAGGGTGCTGGGGTGGCCTGACATGGGAGTCCTGGGGGGTCAGGGTGCTGGGGGGTCGGGGTATCCCAGACACAGGGGTCCTGGGGGGTTGGGGTGACATGGTGGCTTCATACTGGGGTCCCAGGGGGTCAAGGTGGTGGAGGTGCAGGGGCTTGGGGTGCCAGGTCCTGGGGGATCGGGGTGGTGATGGTGCAGGGGGTCGGTCAGGGGGCCCCAGGCGCGGGGGTCCTCCGGCGGGGTGGGGGGGACACCCATGGGTGCTGACGGCCGCGGCAGCGGGAGGCGCAGGTGAAGTTCCACGTGCTGCTGACGTCCTACGAGCTGATCACCATCGACCAGGCGGCACTGGGCTCCATCCGCTGGGCTTGCTTGGTGGTGGATGAGGCCCACCGCCTCAAGAACAACCAGTCCAAGGTGCCCGGATGCCTGGGTCCCTGGGGAGGGGGGGCACCCAGATACCTGGGTCCTCTGGGTGCTGTTGGTGGGTGACGTTTGCTGGACATCAGGGTCTGTGGGTGCTCTGGGAGGTGCTCCCAGATCCTGGCGTCCTGGGGGTGGTGGGGTTGCTCCCAGATCCTGGGGTCCGTGGGTGCCCTGGGGAGTTGCTCCCAGGTGCCAGGGTCCATGGGTGCCTTGTGGGGGGGGGCATTAGGGGTCACTCCTGGACATTGGGGTCCATGGGTGCCTGGATGGGGGTCAGAGGGGTTGCTCCCAGACACTGGGGTCTGTGGGTGGGTGCCCTGGGGGTGTGTGTGGGGTGTCGCTCCCAGATGCTGGGGTCCATGGGTGGGATCAGGGGGGGTCAATCCCGGATGCTGGGGTCCATGGGTGATGTCCCCCCAGTTCTTTCGGGTGCTGAACGGGTACAAGATCGAACACAAGCTGCTGCTGACGGGGACCCCGCTGCAGAACAACCTGGAGGAGCTCTTCCACCTCCTCAACTTCCTCACTCCTGAGCGCTTCAAGTATGTCCCCTTGTGTCCCCTGGTGTCCCCTGGTGTCCCCTCCCCTGCCCTGAGGTCCCCCGTCCCCCCCTGCATCCACCCGCATCGCTCTGTCACTGGTGTGTCCCTGCGGCTCCTGCATCCCCCCACCCTGTGTCCCCTGGTGTCTCCTCCCCTCCCATGGGGTCCCTTCCATCCATTCCCATGCCCCTGTGCCCCTGTGCCCCACCACATCATGGCTGTCCCTGTGTCCCGCCATGTCACAACTGTCCCCACACCCCCATGTCACTGCTGTTCCTGCCTCTCTCTCTGTCCCCCCCATGTCATGCCTGTCCCCGTGTGTCCTGTCCCACAGCCGTTCCTGTGTCCCTCCATGTCACGACCATCCCTGCGTCCCCCCGTGTCACTGCTGCCCCCATGCCCCTTCACCCCACATCATGGCTGTCCCTGCATTTCCCATGTCATAGCCGTCCCCCCATCCCTGTGTCCCCCCACGTCACAGCTGTCCCCACATCCCCCATCCCACGGCCATCCCTGTGTCACTCTGTGTCACAACCGTCCCCCACTGTGCCCCATGCCATGGCCGTCCCCACATCCCCATGCCACCTCACCCCACCACCTCCTGGCTGTCCCTGTATCTCCCCACATTGTGGCCATCTACGTCCCCATCCCCGTGTCCCTGCACCCCTCTCCATGTCACATTGTCCCCCCTCCCCAGCAACCTGGAGGGTTTCTTGGAGGAGTTTGCTGACATCTCCAAGGAAGACCAGATCAAGAAGCTCCACGACCTGCTGGGTCCCCACATGCTGCGGCGCCTCAAGGCCGACGTCTTCAAGAACATGCCGGCCAAGACCGAGCTCATCGTCCGTGTCGAGCTCAGCCCCATGCAGAAGTATGTCAGACACCCGTGTCCCTCGGGATGGGGTGGGACGGGAAGCACCCGGACGCCGGGATCCGTGGGAAAAGGGTGCACCTGGGCACTGGGGTCCATTGGAGTCGGTGTCCGTGGAGCTCAGTCCCATGCGGACGTACGCCGGGGTCCCCTGGGTGCTTGGGTCACCCGAACGCCTGGGTCCCCCGGGAAGTAGAGGGGAAGGCAGGCACCCGGACACCTGGGTCCCCCTGGGAATTGGGGGGGAAGGAAGGCACCTGGACGCCTGGGTCCCACCGACCTCCCCGTAGGAAGTACTACAAGTACATCCTGACGCGCAACTTCGAGGCATTGAACTCGCGGGGTGGCGGGAACCAGGTGTCGCTGCTCAACATCATGATGGACCTGAAGAAGTGCTGCAACCACCCCTACCTCTTCCCCGTCGCCGCCATGGTGGGGGCCGTGGGGGGACAGAGGGACGGGGTGGAGGGACATGGAGGGGACAGGGGGCATGGAGGGGTCGGAGGGATGACGGGGGGGATAGAGGGATGTGGAGTGGGGGGATATGGGGACATGGAAGGGTTGGAGGAATTTGGAGGGCGTAGAGGGACATGGGGACATGGAGGGGATAGAGGGACGTGGGGTCAAGGGATGTGGGACATGGGGACATGGTGGGACATGGAGGGGTTGGAGGGATGTGGGGCAGAGGGATGTGGGGTGGAGGGACATGGAAGCATGGTGGGAGATGGTGGGGACATAGTGGTATATGGGGACGTGGAGGGTTGTGGAGAGGATAGAGGGACGTGGTGGGACATGGGGACACGGATTGGAGGGATATGGGACAAAGGGACATAGGATGGAGGAACATAGAGGGGACAGCAGAACATGGTGGGTACATGGAGCAGTTGGAGGGACATGGAGGGGATTGGGGGTCATGGGGTGGAGGGACCTGGGGGGACATGGGGGGATTGGAGGGACAGGGAGGGGACAGCGGGACATGGGACACAGGGGGGACCTGCGCTGGAGGCACATGGAGGGGATGCAGAAGGGACAGAGTGATGTGGGCTGGAGGCTGGGGGACGTCAGGGGACACCAGGGACCAGCGAGGTGACATCCCCGTCCCCAGGAATCCCCGAAGCTGCCGAGTGGTGCCTATGAGGGGGGGGCCCTGATCAAGGCCTCGGGGAAGCTGCTCCTGCTGCAGAAGATGCTGCGGAAGCTGAAGGAGCAAAACCACCGGGTGCTCATCTTCTCCCAGGTGGGGTGGCCAGGACCCCCAGGGACCCCCCTGGGACCCTCACACCCATGACCCTTGAGTCACTGGGTGCTCATCTGCCAGGTGGGGCAGCCAGGACCCCCAGGGCCCCCCCCCAGCCCCCTCTGGGGCACCTACAGCCTCCCCACCCACCCCTAGAGCTACCGGGTGTTTGTTTTCTCCTGGGTGTGGGGGACCAGGACCCCCCCCGACTCTCTAGAGACACCCAGCCCCCAACCCCAGCACCGCTGGGTGCTCCCAGTCTAACCAGTACTGGGTGCCCCCAGCCTCTCTGGGTGCTCCCACTCTAACCAGTGCCAGTACCAACATCCCTGGTTAATCCCAGTCTGACCAGTGCCCATCCCAGCTCCTCTGGGTGCTCCCACTGTTGACCAGTACCGGGTGCCCCCAGCCCCCCTGGGTGCTTCCAGTCTAACCAGTGCCCACAGATGACGAAGATGCTGGACCTGCTGGAGGATTTCCTGGACTACGAGGGCTACAAGTACGAGCGCATCGACGGGGGCATCACAGGGGCCCTGCGCCAGGAGGCCATCGACCGCTTCAACGGTAGGACCCCGGTGTCCGGGGGCACCCAGGTGGTCGGGGGGGGGCACCCAGGCGTCTGGAGGGGACCCACGTGGTCAGGGTGGGACCAAGGTGTTGGGGACAACCAGGTAGTCAGGGGGACCCAGGCATCCAGGGAGGGACCCAGGTGTTTGGGGGGATGACACCTGGGTGGCCAGAGAGACCCAAGTGTCCAGGCGGGCACCCAGGATTCAGGGGGTACCCAGGATTCAGGGGGTACCCAGGAATTAAGGGGGCACCCAGGCATCCGGGGGATCCAGAAGTTCAGGGGGTACCCATTTGTCTGGGAGGGACCCAAGTGTCCTGGGGACCCAGGCATCTGGGGAGGAACCCAGGTGTTCAGGGGGGACCCAGGCATCTGGACCCTACACCCCTCCCCAGGAAGGATAAGTGGGGGGACACACACCCCTTGGGGTGCTTGGGAGGGGGGGTGGGGGGCAATTTCCCTCGGTGCAGCAACACTGAGGGGAGGGGATAAGATAGAGGGATTTGGGGG